TTAAGCTTTCATTAGAGAGAACCTGCGGTGGACAGAAGGCGAGACTGTGAAGAAGTAACCGTAGTAAAGCTCGGAAAGAGAAATTTACTCGAATTCCTATCTATATCGCGCATAGAGAAAGCGTACTTCTCTTCCCGCTTTCATACAGCTGGATCGCTTTGTCTGATATTGTCATCGCGAGATTATTAATCTTCATCAGATATCAGATTGTGTTTCTTTAAGTCAGCAGCTGATTATGAGAAAATACTGAATAGAAGGTAACAAATCGAAAATAATTGCCTTGTAGTGTACTTGTATGTTCGTCATTGAAATAAGAAACGCTATATAGACTACAAAATTAAGAGTAAATTATTTACACCACAAGATAAAGCTAAATGCATTTCAATCTACTAAACATTCTGTTATTTGAAAAATTACCATAAAGGATTACCGAAATTTTATATTATAAATGTCTAAAAAAAATATAAATTACTGAAGTAATGAGACAAACAATTTACTTAAAGATGTTAATAAGCTATTGTAAGCAATGACGAATACAAACATGTTGTCGAGAAGATAAGAGCAAGATAAAGGATTTTGCCCGGAATAGAAACTGCCGATATCACCGGCGACGGTTGATTTCATATTTTACAGCAAAATTAATGTTTTAATATGCATTAGCTCACGCAACTTTCTCAAATGAGGTGATCGATAGATACAAGCACGCTCTTGTGTACACGCGTGTACGCGAAGCGAATGAGTCACGCCGAGAGACGTAACCGCCACTCGCATATAGCACAGCCTGTAATCAAATAGGATCTCCGTACGATCCAGTGAACAGGACGCAAAGCCGTGAAAGTGCAGTCCTACACCCCGCGTTACTCGTAAAACTCGTTGCAATTCGAATCCGCGGATGCGACGTACTTAGAAATATCACTTTGACGTAAACGTATCTAGGGCTAGTTCAATGCGCGTAGATCAAAATGAAATGTTCCATGTTCCTTGATAAATATTCTTGTAACACGTAATGTGTTGAAATAATATTTCGAAACATATTTATGGGAAAAGTTACATATATCTGTAATATGTCTAAAGTAGGTTTCTACGTCTATTTTCTAATATTAAAAATTGCAAAATTCAGATCAAAGGTGGACTAAATATACGTAAGTCTATTTTTTATATATCTTATTATTTAAGACAAATTTTTAAGGCTTGGTCCACTCTTGTACCAAATATTTCTAATAATATTAGTATCTAAATATCACTACTGTGTATGTAATAAGCATTTGTCATTCTAGATACGTACCAGAAAATGGCATTCGTCTAAAGGTATGATTGCGTGAAATTCTTAAGCAACGAGGCATCTCGTTCGAAAGTTTATTCGTCTGTATCATTTACGGGCCGATAAGGGTCAAGCTGATCAACCAGTCGAGACCGTTTCCGGCGGGTATCGTACTGTGAGTGTCGTCGACGCGTTGGTCGAATGTAAACCGACCGCAATGGCGATACCGTTACCGATTTTTAGCGCGGTTAGCACGCGAACGGGCTTGCGGATTCGAGCCGCAACGCTGCGTCTATGTGCACTTGCAAATTCGATATCTATGCTTTTCCGCTACGAGACACCGATATTTAATTTCAAATCTGGGCGACGAAAAAAAAGAATTCGCATAAAGATCTAGGCGATGAAGTTCAAAGCTGACAAAGATCTAGGAGGTGAAAAATGCAGATGTATCTTATAAAGCATCAAAATTTGTGATAATTCTTAAATATCCCAGAATTCGAAATTCTCAGAATAAATAAATTATTTTAACTTCTTCTTTTTCTTTTGCGTTAATTAGAAGCTGAAATTCCTACTAAAAAATACAATTTTTCTCGAATTGCAAGAATGAAAAGGGGGGATCAGCAATACCCTAATTGAGCGGAAAACGTCAGTCCCGCCGGAGCCACCGCGACAATGGTGCCACGCTGCAATGTGTCTGTGAAATCCACGTCTGACACTTCCTCGGTGTTCATGGAATTCGAAACGGTATCGGTTATTTCGCTTCCGAACGACGTGGAAGTCGTAGTTGTCGTCGTCATTGTCGTGCTCTGCAGATTCTCGCCTGAATCGTTGGGGAAAATGAACGGAAGTAAGACATTGCAACTGACGTATGCGTTTCCTATCACACGTTTAAAGGCTCCTTGATTATTGACTTAGCACGTGACTGATAATGAATAGAATAATCTTCAGAATATTACGATCGTCGAACTATTTAAGATGTATCGTTATTATTTTTCGATTGCGAATAAAAAGATAACTATCATAAATAAAATATCTGAAAAAAAAAATTTATCGCACCTCTTGTAATTTCTGAACGTCAATTAATCGGATTTACTTTAATTTATTAAATACCTTGCGCGTTTTTAGAAAAAGATTTAAAACTCTTAAATCGAATTAAATAGAGAAACTGAGAATGTCTCTTATAATTCTCAGTTCCTTGTAATAAATCAAAACACCGATATACTGAGGCGAATTTGAATTAGGATAAATTTACGGCGACTTGGAATCCTCGTTTCCAAAAATATCGCGAGCGCAAATATTTTACGTGCATCGGTCTATATCTAATCTCGTAAATAAACTGGCAGCGCGGTGCTGAATTCCGTAAGGTCTTACTCAGCTCCGTTCTCTCGACATCGCGATCGAAGGTACTCGCGGAGAGGACGATGGTGTTCGTAGCGGAGGTCGAGGGTTCATCGGGGTCGCCTTCGGAGAAATAACTGGCGAGGTCTTGGTAAGATTCGCGCGTCCTTGCAGCATCCGCAGGATGATGCTCGGACCGATAATCCGAGGTATCGCTCTTTGCTGTATCTTGCTCGTTCAGCGTGGACGCTGACGAAGAGAGAATGTAAAAGGAATATTTATAAATACTTTTAAATGTATATTCCTTTAGAGGAAATGTGTAAAAAAAAGACACATCTCTTTTTGTTGACACCGAACGTGATATTTACCACTGCCAAGATTCGCGACCTCGTCGATTTTCTCGAGAACGCGCGGACGAATTTCGCAGTGATTCACGTTCCCTACTTCGGAATCGGTTTCCCTCTCACTCTTTGATTTCATAAAGCGCTTCAAAGGATTATGAAAGGTGGGCAGCTTCGATCTAATCTGTGCATTGTGTTCATTAGACGATGTTTCCTCCTGAACGTAAAACATACATTTCGCCCTTCCCTCGTGTCGCAAAGCCGATTAAGTTGTTTAATTAACCTTGTGTTAGCCGGCTTATATAATTATTTGCTCAGCTAAGATGCACTTCAATCTTATCGTTGTACATTTATAAAGTTAAAGTATAAGTTATTTTCCGCAATTAATGCGATGGTAAAACAATAATTACACTCTATAATAATAAGAAGTGAATTTTTACACTATTATGAGAATTTCCGTTTGATGAATAATATCACTCCTTTTTCATAGAGTCGAATAAGTCATGTGTAAAATATGCAACATAAGTATAAGAAAAACTTATATTAATTGTGTAATAGAACGCCACAAAAGTTTATAACGCAGAACACGTACAGGATATTCCACGCTTCACGTCTTTCTCCTGTCAACCGTAAATTCTTCAAACATAGTTGGACTTTTATCTATAAAACTTTCAGCAACTTTAGCTGTATTTACACTGCTCTAAAGCGCAACGGTAGATACCCAATACGAGTATTGCACGTCAAATGTTTATTGGTATGTTACAAATAAGAAATAACAGCTAACTTTTGGATTGATATTGCAATATAAATCGCTTCGAATATAACAACGACCGAAACTTTCGACAAGTGCTCCGAAATATAACTGCTGTTTAGCCCGTCAAAATATTTTGATTCCTCTTAAAACATTTAGGTTCCTCTATTTTTCAATATTCTTTTATCGCGATCCCCAAACATCGTATTCTCACCTTCTGCTTCATTGCGGAGAATAGAGATTTCTTATCGGAATTTCTAGGATCGATATGATTAACGGGTGTACGATCCACGGGACCTCCCCGTTTCGGGGTATCCGAACTATTCGAGGCTTCCCTGTTTGTTGTATTACTCATATCTGAATCATATCGTCGATAAAAGAGGAGCAAATCAACGGTACAATCCTACTTATCAATTTGAACGTCGTACGTTTCGATATCGACCATTGCATCCGGTCGATCGGCTTTTGTTCATTATCAATTATAATGCGGATAAATTAAACGCATATATATATTCATTATACGAGAGAGACAATAACGAGACTTTAAATTATAAAAAAAATAGCGGGATACATATCTTCTCGGAGTGTGCACGATTCACAATTTTTCACGGTAAAGCTTAGATAATAATGTTATATACGTGATATTTTACACACTTTTCAACGCAATAATTTCAAATGCAAAAGAGATTTGTTATTAAAACAGAATACTTATAGAGATATATTTTAATTTCGATGTAAAATTGCAATATAAACAAATTGGAAAACGTCTATCATTTGCATGGCAAATTAAACTGAATAACAAATAATATTTTTCAACGTGATAATTTCAAATAAAAGAGAGACTCGACATCGCAAATTAAAATACTCGTTGGAATATATTTTAATATCAACGAAGAATTGCAATATAATAAAAAAATAAAAAGTCTATAATTAAAGTCTTCATAAATAATAAGAATAAATATTCTAAAGCTCGTGTTTGTGACTGTCGCACGCATGATTATCGTGCAACTATAATTAAACGTCGTAGAATTCATGTTTATATATTTTTTTTATTTGTTTTCCTTTACGAGGCACGTTCCCGAAGTATTATCCGGTTCTCCATAACAAATAAACGATCAATAATAAAAAAAAACTGCTTGTCGTTTTCAAATCTCGAACAAAGAAAGTCGAAAATATTGAATCTTTCGATACCGAGAACGCGATAACCGAGCGACGGGCAAAGAAACGTCGTCGCAGTAGAAAACTGGACGCACACTCGACGAGAGATCGCGAGAAAAACGCGTACGGGAAGGAGAATAATTAATCTCACCTGATAGACGTAAGGCGTGCAGGGTACGTAGAATTCTCTGCTCATAATAGACGGGTCGCCTGCGGGCGGCGGTGAAGTCCAGCTGACGGGTCGTCCTTCGGCAAGTGTCAAAACGCCGGTGGCGCCATCTTGATCTCGCTCGGATCGGAGCGAGTCGTCGAACTGTCACGACGAGCAGGCGGCAGGATCACCGAATCCCAATTGCGGCCGCGGCGCGGGCCATCCCTCGCCCGTTTTTTCGGGGTTCATGCACGCCGTGCGGCCGGATGCACGGTACACGCGTGTCACCCGTCACGTCGCGTCGCGCGCCGCGCGTCGCGTTACGTCACGGTCACCGTGTGTCGCGCCGCGACGTTCAGGTCGTTCGCGTCAGCGTCGTCGTTGGCGGACGACGTGCGACGACGGCGACGAGGACATCGACCATCGGGGATCCCCGGTCTCGACGCGCGCGCGGCTCACCAAAGCACACCCGGGGGGTACACACTGCATAAATATCACCTAACAACGTCGCCGGGTTCGTCGTCCCGACTCGATCATGGCGCGCACTCCTACGGTCGATCGGTCCCCGCGGGGGAGAAACCTAACCGTCGGCGGGATCGACGGCGCGTCTCCAAACGACTGGCCCCTCCTCGCTGTTCGTGCAAAAACGCGGCAGGCGGAACGACACACTCAAGCTCAATCACTACGCCATTTTCGTTGCGCGGCTTGCACCCCTCTCTCTCTTTCTCTCTTGCGCGCGCGCATGCCCCACGACGTGCCACCGTACGCGTTCGCTGACAAATGCCGACTGGCGGATCACGGAGAGCCGACCGGACCCGACGGCTGCCGAAGCGCGGCGGCGCCACCAACTTCACGTCGCTCGCGCCGCGCCGCCGCGCGCCGGCACGTTTTTGCACTTTCGCTCCGCTGGTAAAAACCGAGCGCTCGCGAATAAACAATTTCTTTTACTATAATTAAAGTAATTAAACGATGGACAAATAATACCTTTCGCGTTTAATCAATATGCTGTCCTCACGGTCGTTTCGTAAATAAATTTTCGACCGCTCTCGAAGGAAATTCTATCCGTCTCGTGATAAATAAAATAAATTTGTTTTGTTTCAAAAAGCATTTTCAAACCGCTCTCAAGGCCTTTACTTTTCTCTGTTACGTTAACGCCGTAAGGATCTCAAAAAAGATAATAATCTAGTAACGCAAGATCCGGGCGAGCAAAACGAACGGATCAAGGTTTCAAAATGCAAATCGGACTTTTCCTCGGCAATTTTTGCAGCGTGTGATTTCGCATTGTCGCGTGTCGGCGTATTTCCTCTCTTTGACTTTGAATTGATAATAGGTATCGCTCCTCTATCTGCGGCAAAACGAGCGAGAAATTTCTCGAGAGATATCGATACTGAATTTAAAGCGACACGTAACTTTTTCGGCTGAAATGTGGGATTTAATGAAATAAGCAAATTAAATGTTTACGCGTGCAGCTTTACATGCAGGTGAGAATCCAATTAGGATCCGCGACGTGCGCGTGCGTTCCCGTTTCCGCATGGGTTTCCGAGCGGGTTTTCGCGCGGATTTTCGCGCAGCAGGTAGGCACGCCGCGTCTCTCACAGGGAATGGACGTCGTGTCGTGACGCGGGTCTTCGCGACGCGGCCGTCGAAGGGACGAGGGATGCTTCCGCTTCCTCTCGGACTTGATGACGATGTTGCGCGGCAGCAGGATCTCGTCCCAGGGGATCTCGACGTCGTCGGACGGGCAGGTCTGCTCCTCCCTCGGCGGACGTATCTCTATCGGCTTCTCCAGGGCCAGGTCGGCCCAGGGTATCTCCAACGCGGAGTCGCAGGTCCCCGGCTCGTCCAACGACTCCAACGTGCTCCGCAGGGTCTCCGTGATGAGCAAATCCTGCCACGGCAGCGCCATGGCGCCGGTGGACTCTCGCCTCTCGCCGCTGACGGTTTTCGTTTCAGCCTCGTCCGTTTCCCGATCGGCCGTCATCGGAGCCACGTCGGGAGACGTGCGAATTCTCATGCCCGCCGTCGGCAGGGCGATGTCCCGCCAGGGTAGCTCGATCTTGGAGTCGCACAGCACGGACTCGTCCGAGAACTCGCGGCGGAGCGTCTGCATGTAGGGCTCGTGCCAGATCTCCTCTTCCGGATTGTACACGAAGACCTGTCTCTTTCTCTTGGAACGGTCTTTGATTCCGAACCTTTTTTTCCGATGCACGTACACCTTTATGCGACACGTGCACAACTGTTGCAGTCTGCTGCGGCCCACCGTGCCCGGCATAATCGCGACGAGTTCTCGACGTGGTCGTACTCGGCTTGCACTTGACGATTTGTGCCTTTTTCACTTTTCCAACCCCATGTTGCGAGAGTGAAGGGAACGATCGACTTGAACGTGGACGCGAGCAGCTTCGATAAACTTGTTTGTTTATTAGTCCAACGTTCATTGCTTTGAGCTATCAGGCAGCCCGCGCGGTTTTACATACGACTGTGATTTGTGATTGTCTAGCTCTAGCTTCTTTATAATCCATAGTGGAGTTGTACAGAAGTTACATTATATCTACACATTAAATTATTCCATTTTTATTGTATTATTCAATTTTACTTGGTACCTTTATTTATATTTAGATCATTATTAAAATCTTATTTATTTTGATCAATTATTAGTTCAACGTTCATTAACCCTAGCTAAGCCTACCGACGATTTACATACGACTGTGACCATCTAGTTTTTTATTCAATCCATCCATAGTTGACTTATGCATAGAAATTATATTTTTCCATTTTTATCGTATTGTTCGATTTTATTTTGTATCCTCTTATTTATATTTAGATTATTTAAATTTGATATCTTCACTATATACATAAATGATTAAAACCTATAATAAATAGTTGCGTGCAGTCGTGTGTATGATTATTATGCGACGTTTTACATCGTAATATTACGAATATCATATACGACGGTTATAATTATATAATTATAGTTCAATTTCAAATGACAGGTCAATTTGTGCAATGAATATTCACCGCGTTTCGTTACATCATACCACCTATAGATTTATCGAGAAGGCCTCGAGTGGCTCATTATCTTAGCTACGAGCAACCTGTAACGTGCGAGATATTATCGCCTAATGTCTCAATAGCACAACGAGGAACGCAAGGAAAATGCTAAACGTGTCTTTTCTAGAAGGAATTTTGTCTCAGCTTCGAGAAAACCGGTTGGAATCGTGACTAATGAGCAATGAAGGAACCACCAGCGTGTGCATGTGACGCACGATACACGTTGCATCGTATGATCGCGCGTGTTCATTGGGCTCGTCAGCACAAATCAGAATTATCAGATCGTCATCGTTTGAAGAGAGACAAGTCCGCCAAGAGAGCGTTCTTGCCAATGTTTACCGATTGTTGCCTTCTCGCGAAACATATCTCGTCATGTCTCATCAAAAAGCGTGACAATATCTCCGAGGCACGCTCGCGAGCATGAGTAATCTATAATTTGAAGCGTTCGCTACAATGACAAGCAATAAGTGGGCAAGGTCATTCCTCCGCCTAGCTTCGGCGTGCCGAGAGACATCTCGAGCGCTTAAAACCCGGGAGGGAAATAATATTTTATTCGCACTTTCCAATTCCGTCATTCCGACGCTTCCCTCTGTACGCGCGCTTCATCCCGGGGCGGCCCGGGACGGGGGATCGTTCGCGACCTTACTTTCGACGCACCGGGTATACGGAGATACACCACGGTGCGCGACGTTGCGCGTTGCGCGTGTCGGAACCCGGAACAGGATCGTCAGCGTCCCGCCGCGCCATCTGTCGGCAGTGGCGCGGGTGCGCTGGGAATTCGCTGATTGCCGATAAAAGGAAATCCACGGTGACGGTGGCCCCTCTCCCGGGTTCGCGAGTTCGTGAGGCCGCGTTCGCGACGAGTGTCCACGAGAAAGCAACGCCGAATAAAAGTATACGATCGACACCCCCGTATTTTGCCGTCCGCGAGATTCGTCGCGCGGGCATCCCACCTCGGGGTTTTCGTTGTGACGCGTCGCGACGTGCTCGCCGTCGCGCGGAGATCGCGGACAGCGCCGCGCTTGACCAGCGCAGTCCGGGCTACGTTTAGAAGGCAGCCATCTTGCAATCCCTAATCAAAGATCCACGGCAAGCGGGGTATCGCTGTCTGGTATTGCGGCCAGTTAATATCAACACACAGTTCGTCAAATGGCTTTAAAGCGAATTAATAAGGTACGTGGAGGCAGGTCGGCGTTCGTGCCGCGTCGACGACGCGGCCGGGCGTTGTCGTGCGCCGCGTTCGGCCGTACGCCCCCTTAACGATCTGTCTCTATCTCTCTCTCACTCACTCTTTCACTCTCTCTTTCTCTCTCTCTCTCTCGCTCTATCTATCTCTCTCTGTCGCCCTCGCCGAGCCTGGTGTGCGAAACAGTGTGTGCGAACGCCTGGGAAGAATCCAAGCCTGGCCCGCGTTAGCGGGGCCATCCTCGCCGTCGCCGTCGCCGATCGTCGACCATCGTACCACGACGAGATGGCGGCCGCGCGCCGTGCGCATCTAGGAGCCATGCGAACTGCGAACCCGTCCCTCGACGCCCTGCGCCAGCCGGGCTCGGCCGTGGGTGACAGTGAGAAACCCGGACGGATTTTGTGTTACTCGTACTCCGCAAGATCTCCGGAAGTAACGCACGTTTACCGTGCTCCGCGCGTGTCATCGACGTACGCGTCGAGCGCGTAGATTGTCCTCGCGGATACTCTCTCTTGGTGCTCTTCGCTGATCTTTTGTGCCTTTACCTCGTGGTGCCAGCGACTACTTTGTTCTCGAGTGGTTTGTCGTGAAAGCCTCGCGATGCGTATTGTAGTAGAGTAAAGTGGAGTCATTTGACGTGGTGCATCTCCACGATGTGAGTGCCAATAATGTTTGATTTGTCGTTATAACATACAGAATGGACTATGACACGGAGCAAGATTGAAGAGCATGAGTTGCACGAGCGAGGCTGTAAAGTCCAGCGAAAAGCTATAGCTTTTATTTCATCTTGATCATCTATAGTATTGCAATGATATTAATAACAATGAGAGTATGAGAATACGATTGTGGAATTGTATGATACTTGAACAATGTAATATGCTATAATTAGATTTTGTCTTTGTTATAAAGATGTTATAGATAAGATTGCAAACAACAAAAAACTTTGTCTCGGAAACTTCCATTATTATGCAGTAATATCTCATTTTCAATGACTATATATAAATATATATATATATATGTATGAATTATCTAGAAGGCTCTATATCTATTGTCAAGAGAATGTCGAATTGTGTAGATATATATATATATATGTTTATAAATACCAAAGTTACTTATAGAATAATGGTACGACATATGATTGGAATTGTTGCAGTAAAATATATTGGAAATTAAATAGGCTCTATTTATGTTAAATATAAATCTCTATTCAGGTTAATTAAAATAATTGTAATCATATTATTTTATTATGTATAAAATGTTTTAATTTTTGTAACGCTATTATCTGTATTTATAATTCCAGGAACTTCAGGACCTTGGTAGAGATCCGCCAGCACAATGCTCGGCTGGACCTGTAGGAGATGATTGTAAGTATTAAGTTTGCAATAAATACTTAGAATAAAATAAATAGCATAAAAATGTTATAGTTAAGTTATAAATTACAAACTTAAAGCTACAGCTTTTTAATTTTTTATTTGGATATTTTGAATTAGGAAGAACTGATTATCAACGTACCATAAAAAAGTAGATGTATAAGGTATATCATAGGGTCTGTTTTCTATTGCTGCATTCGACAAGTGTACATATACATTAGGCCTGTTTGTGTTGCTTACACTTTTTACATTTAGAATCCTCGATTTCTTTCTCTCCAACGTTCAAATATATATTTATCTCGATTTAAAAACTTTTAGAGATTTCAAGCAACACGAACAAATCTATTGAAGCGTGAGAGACGTACATATGAAACTCTCACGCTTTAGTGTATGTATAATTCTTGAACTAATGCAGTTAGTGTAGCAATAGGAAACAAACCCATAATTTAATAACAGTTTGCATGTAAATTTAACGTAATATTTTTCCAGTATTCCACTGGCAGGCAACAATCATGGGACCAGTAAGTGACACATCTTTATGCAAATTTTTAACTTTCTTTTTCTGTATAAGAATTTCTTCATATAAATTATTAATATATAATATTTCTTTATATCTTATTGAAATGTGATAAAAAGCTATTGAATTGTTGATGATTATACATTATATACTTTGCACTTTTTATGCTATAACAATTTTTTAGTAAATTGCTAATAAATATATGGCCATCAAGCAAGAGTTGATACATAGAGTTTTATTATAGAATAATTATGTAACATATTGTACATATTAATTTCATTTTTCTCTTACAGCCTGACAGTCCGTATCAAGGAGGGGTATTTTTCTTAACAATACACTTTCCAACAGATTACCCGTTTAAACCACCTAAGGTACGTCACGTTGTACAAGCAAAATTTTTAATTATATATTGCAGCAGTAGAAGATACAAAAGATATCCATCACAAATAATTATTTTGTTTATTTACAGGTCGCATTCACGACTAGAATTTATCATCCCAATATCAACAGTAATGGAAGTATTTGTCTGGATATCCTACGATCTCAATGGTCTCCTGCACTCACTATATCAAAGGGTACGTATTCTATGTAATATGCATTTGTAAAAATATATTTTGTATCAATTAAACATTAATATTATTGATTACTTTCCAGTGTTACTGTCAATATGCTCTTTGCTGTGCGATCCAAATCCAGATGACCCACTGGTACCAGAAATAGCCAGGATATACAAAACCGACAGGGAGAAGTATAATGAATTGGCACGCGAATGGACGCGCAAGTATGCCATGTGATGCGCCAATCTCCACTGACTTCAACATCCAAACACCACCAAGAAACAGCCCCAGCCTATTGCCACTTACGCATCAGCACCGATTGAAATTAGCTATGGCTCGTATACTTTTAAACTTAAGCCGGTAATCGGGCCCGAGGAATCCTCAGGCAAACGTGATCGATCTGAACTTCTCGCGGTTCAGGAATTCCGCGGATAGTTAAAATGTTGCCGCAATGGCAATCGAGGCAATTTTGAAGGTGGTCACCCAGCATTATATATATACCGAATCAGACAACACATCCGCTTTGTTTTTCATAAATAAAAAAAATGGAAGTAACATATAGGAGAGTGAAAGTAGGATTTGTATTTAAATCTAATAGATTGGTTTCTAATTATTGTGCTTATAATAATTGTAACATTACGATACCTACTTTCTTCAGTGAAAACTGAAAACTTTGAACTGACAGCACATCGATTGTTAGTTTTAACGCAAGTGAGCAATGTTTGCCCGTCCCTTGAAACGATGTGGTCACTCTTTTTGTAAGACTGGGCTATATATATATAAATATTACTGAAACTGTACGTGTATGCTTTGTTCAATTATTAAAATTCCTTATACCTGACAAATTCTACGAGTAACTCGAAATCTGTGCTTTTGGTTCCTGTGTGTGTGTGTAGTAATTTAATTATGCATATCGTTAATCGGCAAGTGGCAACCGTGCAACTTTAAGTAATCGGAAGCATCTGCAAACACTGGACAAAAGATTATCTGATAGCCTGGAGTATGGTCTGCGGTTTTCGCGGGTCTGCGAGGTTTGCTACGTAATTTATTGGAAGCATGCAGTGTCACCCTTTTCGGCTTTACGCTGATACGGGAAGCAGTCGATGGGTCATTTCATCGATGAGTGATGCGAGGGAGAGCAATTCCGATTATTTAAATTTATATACGGGTCGCGTTATAAATTAGGCGACAAATATGTCGACAGCGCGAGGAGATCGCCACTGGATTGCTAAAATCTCGGCGACTCGTCTCGTATTATAGTGCATGAATGCACGCTATTAAGTTATGCGTCGCGTTCTGCGAATCAGGAATTCGCGCTACTTCGTCGTTCATCGCGACGCTATTTTACTCGCATCAATACTTTTACCGCTGTTTTGCGTGCAGATGTTTCTTTAAGCAGCGATTTTTTTTAATTATTATTTAGTTTCCGTGACCAGATGTTTTTCCTTTTATCCACAATATAAACGTACACTTGCGACGCGCGACCGTACTGTCCATTGCTGGACGAACGATAGACTTAAATACAATCTGTTATTTAAACGTTGCAATTACGATACTGTATCCTCGATATATTGTGGCTGTAAGGGTAAAGCGATGTGATTACATATTATTTCATAAAAATCTAACTATATACAAAATGAACAAAATGTGTCGTTAAATTGCGAAATGTCATTCAGCGCGATAGTTCGTTTAAGAATATATGAAACTACATAATTGCACTGTCTGATGGTGCTAGCAGTGTGTTTTTGGCTTCTAATCATAGATAAATAAAATCTGATACGTCATTTAAAAAAAAAAGAAAGATTACGATTACTTAATTAGTGCGTAAGTAAAAACGAATTTGTCTTGCGAACCATGTGTAAAGCGCGCGTTAGTGCGAAACGTCTCGATGTAATCGGTGCTTAAATATGGCAAGCTGATGGGGCGACTAAAGGAACCTAGAGAAGACAAATCGATTAGTATGTAATGCGGCGGCCCGTTGTTTACGCCGACCTTGTCTCATACGACCGTGTATCTGTAATTTAATTACGAGTAAAACGCGTCGAATCTGGTATTTAAAAGTTATAGTCCTCGAGAAAAAAAAAACAATTGATCATCGTTCACTCTCTAGTAGAAGATGACTATTCATGTGTATAATTAATTATTACTACCGCAATAATGAACATTTTTAATAACTTATCTTGTGTACATTTTAGCATTAGCCCTTTATATAATAAAGTCCACATGATGATAAGGTAAAGCATCGAGAATCTTTTCTTTTCTTTTCCTCGCGCGGCCGGCGATGAAATCTGAGCGTGCGGATGATAAGCGGATAGGATCGTGATACAGTGGTCACGTTTCGCGTTAATCGCGTTATATAGCCATCAGAGTTCCTATCGTACAAGTCGCGTAACTGAAAACTCGTGCTGATAGCTGCAAAATTACTATCGCATCAACGTGGATCTCTCATTCGAAAGTGGCCTTAGCCCACGCGTCTTTCCCAATTCTTCAACGTCACCGATGTGACCTACGTGAAAGTAACGCGAGATCGACTCGCGCTTCTGAAGATTTTATTATACACGGTCGTCGCGCTTTCGACGAAGAAACTTTTTTTCGCGCTCGAAAGCGATGGAGATTGAAATCTAAAATTATTGTAATCGTAATTCGAGATTAGTTTAAATAGGGAAGTAAGGTGTATATAAATGTCTGGACACGCGATTATAACGACACGTTAAATTGAGAAATTACTACTCAAGAGTAATTTCATGCAGGACAGATTATGCAGAAGTTATAGATCAAATTATTAATTATGTATATACGTATCATGTCACACGTAATGATTTGACATATGCATTAGATAAAGCTGATAAAAGCTGAGCTGTTCCAAAAAAGAATCATATGTAATCATCGTATATCTCATTGGAAGCTATTGCGAGATGTGTCGCGGTATCGAAGGACACCCGGCGATTCGGCCGATCACGAATCCATGGAGAACCGGACGAGCGCTCGCCGTCCAAGCAGTGAAAGTATGTGCCAGCGAGATACCCCCCTTTGTGTCTCGAGTACGGGGGGGACCGTTGATCCCCGAGCATGTGCTCTTCATGCGGGACGTATGTACATCGGGAGCGACCCTGGCTAGTCGCCGTCATCTTCGTCGTCGCCGCCGCCACCACCACCGCCGCCGTCACTTCGCAATCTGACGCTCACTGCCAGTGTTCTGCTCGGCGCGCTCGGTGCGGTCGATGAAATCGCGTTGCGGTCCGATACGCCGCGGTGAGATTCGCACACGTGAAGAGTGCGCCAATGCGTCGGTAAGCGCAAAGCCCGGACGCCCGACCAAGAGACGTCGATGACTCTCCGTTTCCTCGACCGTCCGCAGAACCGTCGATCGCCGCTCCACGAGGTACGTGATTTACTCGGATACCGCTCGTTGAAGCGTCATCCGAAAGCGGAAAGCGAAACTCGAGTGTTAATGATAAAAATAAACATGCTAATTATATTGTATCGACCGGTATCATCGAACGAGACACGTGTCGCTTTTTACAATATTTATGAAGAAGATAATTGTATTAACTGTAGATATTTATCAAAAGATATAAGGTAGTTTTATATCTTTTTAAATATCGCTGATGCAAAGATAAATTAAGTCTTTTTCTGTATAACACGATCAGATACGCGAACAGGTGATTCCCCATTTGCATTGGGAGAACCCGCGTCTTCGCCCAAATCTCGCACGCATTTAAAGTGCATTCTGAAGCGCGGCTAATTGAACAAAGACAAATGAATCTCGCACCAAAGTTAGCACCGCATCGCCTCGCTCGATGAATTCAATGTCATATCTTACTTTCGACGTGGCTTTACTATAAAGCATACTATTACAGGTAGTGGGACTTTGTCCTGCAAACTAGGAGAAGAGATGGTAATCGCGTTTGCTAAGGAAGTTTAATAACTGACGTCTTTACGGGTCATTAGCTTGACCTACTGAATAGTGATATATATATACACGTGGTATACATATCGAAATGTGCGACCACAGTCACATTTACTTAATTCATTATCATTTAATGAATTGGAGATTCGACTCATATAATAAGATTAATATGCAATTAATTAAAGATGTAGAACGTTATAAATTAAACTTCCGACTTCTTAATAAAGGTAATTGTTATATATATATATGCAATTATATTCTTAAAAATAATGCGTACGTATTTATTTATATTTAATGTAATTTTATCAACAAAATTTCTTGATTCGATGAATGAGTATTATACCAATCAATTCATTAAAGTGCAGAATTTTATTATATGATATCGTTCGCCTTTGTTCTTAATTGTTCGCACGATGATAATGCTATTATCCATTGTGTAGCAATTGATGCAATTACTCCTTTCGTATCAACAAAAAGATAAGTACGCCAATTAATTTTTATTTATCAATACAATGCGCTGTGTTTATGGCAACACTTCAATAATTGCGCAATTATAGAGTTACACGTTATAGAAACCTTCCTTTCTATTACTTCCGTAAAAAACATAATATTGAAATTATTAATTATTTAGTTGTTTATCACATATTCATTTATTTACGATGTCAAAAACACGTTATTCACGTTATTCTAGTCACGAGTTACGGTAAATCTATTTATCCTTTTGCACATAATAAATTAAAGATGTAAAAAAACTAGCTGACTGCACATTGGTCTACCTGTGTGACACTCTCGGCCGTATTCAATGTAAATTATCATTTTCGTGTATTGATTTAATATATTTATTTTATTACAAAACGAGTCATTATTGTGTGTCAATAAAATATATATCAGTAAAATCAATATCAAACACCATGATATGGAAAGGGCAGCAATTTCAAGATTATACAAATCGTTACGCGAACATGCTGCCGAGTTACTTCCTGCTCGTATATATAATGGTGAAAATATAATCTGTGCAACAGTACTTTTCATCGGGTGTAAACGTACGATCTGAACAGATTCCAAAGTGCGCCTGCGACTTTCTCGCAGATTAGACGTAGTCGCGTGATGAAGAGAGAGTGAACTGAACAGAAATCTCCTCCTCTCACACGGAGTCCAGATAAAAAGACAACTAGGACGTCGCGATTCTCCGGAGCAAGCTTTTTCGCTCCTAACACGCTATCCGCGTGTGTTGCGTGCGTTAATGTGAATATAATCCCGTTTCATATTTTCTAATAATAACGACTAGAAATTCGTAAAATATCGGCCCGAATATTCTTTTCGGCTCAACCGCGAGATTTCTAATCGGTCGATTTCGCGTGGCGCTCGAAAGTTAAGCGTTTCCACGATTTTTCTCTTGCGCAGCCTTCGCGCAGTTTTTGCCCCTTAACTACCGCTTAACTAACAATAAGTAATGATATTCTGACTCTTTGTGCGGCTGCAAATAAAATTCACTTCCAATTAGACGGCGTCACGTAAGAAAGCATTCCGCTGCTTACGACGGTTACTGCTTGCTTTCCGTACGCACGCGGCAATCTCCTTTCTCGAGAAAGTTACGTATATATCGACGTCACCTTATATATCAAACTCGTATTTCTAGTCGGAGGTCTATGAAAAGTATATGATTGTCTTGATGAATAAAAATTTTACTCTTATATTTATCTCTTCGTTAATACGCAAGTAGTAATTGCACCAATTACCGTACGATACAATGGATCGCTTGTCATCGTACGAACCATTAAGATTAAAAACGAACGATATCGCATGATATAATTTTCGCTGTATGTATATATAGTGAATTGATGAAAGATTAAGGAACTTTCTAGGCGAGGAAAAGTCGGAATGTTAAAAAAAAAATGTTTCCTCCCCTAATAGGAATAACTTAAAGTTTATCGCATTTATGTTTCTTTTCTATAGATATCTAATAGCGTGTATCAAAACGTTGTAATTACGTTCGGATTTAAGAAGTTGCTAATTCATAATGAAGACCGTGAAAAACTGCTACCTCACGACGGAGATCATCGTGAAATTCCTGCAAAATTAATATCTAAATGTATTTCTTTTTACGTATACTTCACATACGTATACCTCCACATATCTCTTCGAGGTATGCAGAGGTTTTGTATGTAATTAACCTCCCCGAGTTTAACTATTTAAATACATTGTAACGAGTCTTTGAAATTCTACACATCGTGCGTCAAATGAAAATTATATACGCTGGATCAGGTCTTGTTTGACAGTAATGTTATCGCGGATAACATGATGAACGGTTAACGGTTGTCTCCAATCTTTCTATCGTTATGTCTTTCAGGAAGCAGGTGCTGCACAAAAGGTCTACGCCGTTTGAATGATGAAACTACTTGCAGGCGTAGAGGAGGTTAGCGACCACTGTGAAAAAGAGACTAATAATGGCCAACTGCACAACAATAATAGTCATGAAAAGCAATCTGCGGCAGAATTGGCGCAAGAAGCGAACAAGCCGCTCGTCAACAAGGTCAGTCAATGTGTGCATACCCGACATCTTCATCGTGTCAAACGAGATTCTCTAAATTCAAAACAGATTAAAATTATTAATTAAGACTCAAGAATAAATTTTAAGGAGAGGAAATTAAAAATGAAAGCGTAATAAAATGCCGAGTGATTATGCGGTTCGTAATGGGATTAGTAAATAACAAATGTTATCTGCGTATCACTGCAGATAACGATGATGAAAGACTTTCGCGATAATTTCCTCGGATAAAATCGAGGATCTGATTCCGGAAGTAACAGCTCCACGCAAAGGACACTGTAAAGTTGATATGCTCCATTTCTTGTTGAAGTCATCTAGCCGCTTCCGCTTTTTCCGAGACCAAGACACGCGACTACGACTTTCTGGGTTACGCGATAAATTCTGTAATTTTACATTTCTCCTTTTCTCGTGTACGTCACGAGGATTAACAGGATTTTTCCATCAAGTTAGAGATTAACAAATTAAGTCTGTTTTGCAAAAATGCATTCATCATTTGCAGCTTCCGATAATAAGCGATTAACGATCTGTTCGGGCATAATACGTAAATTGACTGTTAATCGTCCGACGAGTGCTCATTATAAGGCAAAAGTATAACATTGTTTTCTGTTTTATATCTCAACGAAAAATCTGAAATCTTGTAATTGTATTTCAACTTGAAATCTGAAATTATTTGCTGATTATTCTTCATTTTCCGCGATACTCGCACTCAATCGCGGTCAATATTACTTCGCGCTGGCGTAGCAACGAGAATCGATTTCACTAGCTGCAAACTTACGACACGAGAGGAAAACGGATGGCGTAAACTTGACACACTCGGATGAAAGGCAGGTCCCGTTGCGGCCTACTTACCGCATTCGCATATCTGTGAAAGATATAGCTAGTATGAACGAAACTCTTCTTGTCTACATCTTCGTCTCGTGTAGGCTCTTTCCGAGTCATTAGGAGCGCAATCTACATCCATTGAATTCACTTGTCAATCCCCTTTCATATAGAAAATAACTTTCTATCTTGCGGGCATCAAAACTATAGGGATAAAACTATACTTCAAATAGATATTTGTAAGACATAGAAATAAAGCTTGCAACAAATATTTTAATATTAGAAAGTTGAATATTTTATAATTTACTCTTTGTGCGATTAATTAATCTTTTTCTTAATTTATTTTAAATATTATATATTGTTTTTAATTATCATAAAGATACAATTGAAAGTGGTGAAATTTTTAAGCCACGAGAACTTTAATTTTAACATGGACAACGTTTTCTCTTTCTAATAATAGTAATAATTATACCAAATTAAAAAAGGAGAATTCATCGCATCGTAAAGTCACATCATTCCATTGTTGCTGCGGCAAGTTTACATCGCTGAGGAATGTAACAAACGAAAGCGATGAAAGCACTTCGTATTGTTCAGAATACTCCAAGTGCAATAAAACGTCATTGCACGGACTTCTTATGTAAGTGACTTATGCACTTATGATTGAAGTTTAGATTCAACAGTTACTTGCACGAAACAAAAGTTTCATTTTTTCCCCGTTCAGTTGTATTCTGTTATACAAGAAGACTGCAATTTTTTTACATGACTATTTCAAAAAAACGTATCAGTATGTTAGAATATATTAGAGAGAGAGAAAGAGAAAAAGGTGGAATAATCAATAATTTAAAAAATATATTAAAATTTATATATAATTAATATTTTTTAAAATTAAATTCGATACTTTAATGTTTAAATAGTGTTTTTTCTCAGTTTAGTCTTTAATATACTAACAAAGAAGATTCACGATTTTTTTGCAATATTGAATACTTTATCCGGATAACATAAAAATATAAAAAGTACCGTGCAAATATCTAAAATTTTAACTATTCTTTTTTAGACTTTTGTGTTCGGATACGTTTAATTTGTTTTGACCTTCTGTCTTGAAATAGATATGCGGCGATTCGACAGCCAAGAAGGAAATTACACCAGAGGAAGAAGAAAAGCTGAGACGTTTGCTACGGTTCGAGGAGGCACCTGAATTCCTTCAGCACAATCCCTACATACGGCGTGGCTATCGAGGCTCCCTGACCACCAAACTATGTCTCGAGAGGTTGATTTTAACATTCCTCAACGCATTTGCGATAAACGAATATCTCGGAGATAATAAACGTATAGTCCGACAGCGTGCGCTTCTTCACGAAAATATTGCGTGTTTCAGCATATTTTGGTGGACGAACGAGACCGTGAACATATGGAGTCACATCTTTGGCTGGATGCTCTTCTTTGGTCTGACCTTATATGATCTCTGTCTACTGAACATTCACGCGCCGTTTGGCGACAAACTGATTGTGTCCTTGCTGCTTCTCTGTTTTCAGGTATTAAAATCTGTAAAAACTTGGCAGCGTGCAATATCACATGACTTGTTAAAATATAATAAAGTAAATAAATGAAACTGTTTTCAGATATGCATGATCCTGTCGTCCGTGTATCACACCTTCTCGTGCCGAAGCGAGAGAGATTACTGGTGCTTCCTATCCTTCGACTTATTCGGTATTGCCCTGAGCATGCTGTCGATATATATGTCGGGGGTTTACTATGCCTTTTGGTGTCACAAGGTGAAGAAAACATCGATTTCTCTAGCTATAATTTCAGCGACTCTATACGTCATACGAAGCTTATACGAAGAAAGTTTTCATATTTGTGTTTATGTACACGCGATAGTTTGCGTTTCGAGAGCTTACAGAAATAATTAAAGCGTTTTCCGGCATACTCGTGTCAATGCGATCGATAAATCAAGTCGGTCTCGAATCCGTGAATCTTTTACAGGAGCTGCAGCGATTTTACCTCATAACCGTGCTCGCGATCTTCATTTTCGCGATGATACTGCAAATACCGAGACTGAACATCAATAGCAACGTTAAGCTGGCCGTATTCGTGAGCTGGGCGATATATGGCGTGCTGCCAACGCTGCATTGGACCTTTGCGATGGGTGGCTTTGATAACCCGATCGTTAAAATGCTCATTCCGAGGGTGATAGGAATGTACATTATTAACGCGATAGCATTCGCGTTCTATATGCTCAAGATACCCGAACGTTTTTATCCAGGTAATTGTGGACGATTACCGCTCTCGTTACCATAACGATGTTCCTTGCTTCATACTGTACTCAGTACTGAATAATGGTATAATTGCACATTGTTGTTGAATAAACGTTGACAATATGCGACGTTTCCTATAGGCTGGGTGGACTACGTCGGCTCGTCACATCAATGGTGGCACGCGTTGGTCGTGCTAGCCCTCTATTATTGGCACAACACTGGAATGCTTTACGTGGAATACAGAATGAATCACGGATGTCCGAGCAGTGCGGCATTATGACATACGGATTCCGGCGACCAGCCAGGTACGCGTGATAATGGTCGTAACTCTACGCCAGTTGTGACTGATGGTGACACTGATATGTAAATCATGTTACGTTTTCGCAATATCAAATATGACCGTTGCTGTATGATCGTCGGTTGTGCCTAGAAATATCTAAGATGTTTCAAGTATAATGCCAGAGCGACAACAATTCTAAACATCCATCTATTTTTTGATAAAAAAAAACATAAAAGTTAAAAATATTGTACGTGTGCATACACAGCCAGGAAAGTTTTTCAAAACATTTCTAATTTATTAATTACGATTAATTACGATTTAGTTAAAACTACCGAATTACAGAGACGAATCTGCGATTTAGGATTGCAAACATTTTGTTGCAGAATCCGTTCTCGCCATGGATTGCTCTTGCATGATGAAGACGGGTGCTTGGTCGTCGTGGACCGCGGAACCGCCGTTTTATAGTGTTTTGAAGAATACGTCTTGCGAGATACAAAATCCACTGCGTGTTTACGCGCATCGATAGTCGCGACACGTACACCTTTAGGAAATACATGCGACGTTCTGGATGGAAAGAGACTCGCCGTGGATGTATATAAGCCACGACATTCCGCAGCTCTATTTATATTTATTTGATATCACTATTTATATCTGTTTCGTGACAGCTAGTTTTATCCTAAATGTTTTTTATTTTCTGATCTTTAATTCTAGCAGGACTAAATACAAAACTAATTAATATTAAATATTTTTAGTATCGCTAGAAAAAAGCGTTCTTTCAACTTAATCCCGGATTGAAAAATTTTTTAGATTTACAAACATTTAATCAACTAAAATCCATAAAGAAACGAACAAATTTTTAACAACGACAACACGGAGGATGAATATTTCGTAACCATTTCCTGCTGGAATCAACGCGACTCTTTGTTTTTAGAAATATATTTCTATAAGAGCTGTTTCTTTTTTATTACGTTCCAAGGAGAGGACTGGGGATTTTATACTGTTCGATATATAGACTATAATGAATTCAGTGTTTTTCGTGACACTTTTTTTGGTGAACGATATTAGAGAAATATCGGGACGTGGGTTTTTATCTCTGGCACAAAAGTGTGTCTTTCCATCGTCGTTTCACTATTTTGTGAACGATATTACAAATATCAGGTCGTGGGTTTCCATTTCTGATGCAAAAGTAAGTCTTTCCATCGCTTCCGGTGAAGAATTGCTGATATCTGTGATGTAATGTTAACGAGATATCGGCGATTGATTAATCAAAGCGCTCTTGACGACATTGATGGCCGCTTTTACAACGCGGTCAAAGTCGAGATATTAGATAACTTTGCAAATTCCCATTACACTTCCGGGGTATATACATATTTTGTAATTCGTGCGCAGAAATGAGGCTTACATACCAAACGATATCAAACACACAATACGTATATTAAAATTCTTGACTGATTCCAACATGCATGCCGCGTTCTAAAGCGGTCCTTACACAATATACATCATTGCATATAAATAAACAGTTAGGTGTTAATAACTGTAACGTTGAAACAATGTTGTTCCCTAAATCGTTAAATAAGAAAAATAAATATTTTATTTATAAATAAGAGCATTTTCCTTCCTTTATATCTAACCATTTGTACGTACACAATCATTTTGTACGTATAATTGCTCCATTAATCATTATTTTTAATTATTTATTAAATTAGCAACAAGAAAAAGAGAGAGAGAGAGAGAGATATTATTATCTATTGAGCAGGTTCCATTGAACATTTACCTTCGCGATCTGTAATCTTCTAACTCATATGATATACCAGAATAACCGACTATTCTACTCACCCGATACAGGCCGATGAACTTTCGATCTCGCCGCGAGATGGCGCCATCGCCCTCCTCACGAATTCAAACGTACGGCAGTTCGTGCGAGCGGTGGGTGCGAGTCGTAAACCGCGCGCGTACTTCTCGCGCTGTTCGCCGCAAAATTATCTTGATCGTTCGCGAGAGATTCGTCGGAAAGGTCGGAAATACCGCAGAAATCGGGATTCCCGGCAGCGCGTATCAGGTATGTGACAAATATGCAATGTGATATATCCAACTCGCGTGCGTTTCTGACGCGGCAAGTTGCGTTTCGCCGGAACGGGGAGTCTCGTTCCGCCATTACCGGCTTTTTGAGGTTTTGCGTTAATCACTCCGCTGCGTAGCGTGGAGTTTCAATTTCGATCGCTACTTTGATATCATCGTACATTCGATACGCGAGAATCGCGTAATATCGCAATTATAATATGTATATGTCTGAAATCACGTATTACTCCGTGATTTCCGTATTACTCCCGGATACGGATATGAAGGTACATATGGAATCGAGATTAAATATCAGTGTAAATTCACCGAGTTTCCAACGCTGCGAATATGCGAGAAAGGACCTTCTTATAGACGTCGCGTTTCATTTATTCACGAATGAGCATAAGGACCATTATTGCAAACGTATGGTATCTAAATGTAACTCGGCGACATTACACCGATGTTAATCCTACTTGTATCCTTGATGCATGAAATCATGAAATAGAACTTCGAAATAGCCGAAATAATTCATTTAATTCCTCACGGCAATACTTCGGCAATACGGTTGATATTTCCTCTATTTCTGATTGTTTTTCTTTTATACAGCAATAAATTATTTTATATAGCAATCACTCTGACGCAGAGTTGGAAAATAATTTTATAGGAATAAAGTATTTCCTCAATTAAACTCGAGCGATATAGATATAATAATACAAAATTTCTTATTTGAGTTGTAATTATTTAATTCTTGGTTTAATTTGTAACTAAAAAATTTTATCCTGTGAGATTAATTTACAAGATTATAAAGTAAAAAAAAAAACGAACAATTGTGTAACGATTTTTAAAAGCGTAGTACGCTAACAAACAAATCAGTGCAAATAATTTTTTTAAATTACAAAATTTTTCAAATCGCTGTTTTTCAAAATCTATAATTTGCGGTTTAAGTTTACGTCATTCCCGATTGATTGCTAAACAATCGTATCGATTTTATGGGGGAAAAAAAAATACAAAGTAACGGTAATCGTTACTTTACCGATAATTAAAGGTAACTGTTCCTGTTTATTACGATAAAGTAATGATCCCGTTGCGGAGTATCCTTCCGTCTTACCGAGACTCCTGTAATCCCTCCTGCAATCCTTTTGCGTCCACGGCGAAGCGACTTTCACTTTTCTTCCGTCGACGATGCGTCTAACCGAGGCGGCGGCGATTCTTTATCCATGCAAGAAAGAAGGAGCGCGCGGTAGAATTTACGTAGCACTTAATCCCGCCGCTTAGAAGGCCTCGGCAAAATCACCCTACTTCACATCCTCGAGTACCTCCTATTCCTCCGCTCCTTTACGCCTCGTCCTTCGCCACTCATCATCCTTGCTACGTGCATTCGAGCACCTTCGCTCGCGCTTTTCATTAGCTGCCGAGAGCGGCGATATCCCCGTAAGACGTACCTTATCAGGGTATATCATTTTTCGCGTCGTTCTTATTTCATGTATTTCTTTGCGCATTGCCAAAAATTAAACGACACGGAGTAACGAAAATCCTTAACCAAGATAAAACAAACTCTTTATAGAATTGGAATTATGTGAGTAGACATAATCTAAGTTTTAAAATAATTAATCTCTAAAGTCGGTCTTTTTTGTATATAATATAAACAACACGCTTATATACATCTTTCTCCTTCTTATTAATAAAATATTACTTATGAAAACTTACGTAATTTTAAGATGTCATCTTCTTCATTGGCAGCATCAAGATTTATGTCTTTCTATGCAGAAAAATATAATTTAATAAAGAAAATCACAGTAATATATTAATCTGCTTGACACAATACGCGCCGCGTGATATAATCATTTAAATTTTAAATCAAACATTTATCACATTTTCACATAATAGGTATCTCGTTGTCAACGTGTTGATTAAACATTTTATTTGTATTCGAATTATCCAAATAGAAAAACATTCTGCCGTTCTCGGTCACTCGGCGCTTCGGAAGTACCGCGAGAAGATTCCGCGGAATTAGGTTCCGCGAATCAGCTGCGAAGCCAATCCTTTAATCGTCAGTACTAAAATATTATAAGGCGCGTAATCGCCCGCGATCGCGCTGAAATCCGTCGGCTAATCTCTCCACCGTAAAAGCGGTTTTATGTACCCATCTACCGGGAGCTCTCGCTCTCGGCTCGGCCGTTACGCTTGGTGCTTCGCTCTCGCTGCTTTCCGAGATTTTAATGGCAGTCACACGGCGGAGTCGATGGCAGAGAGCGAGCGAGCGAGCCGGGCCGGTACGAGTGTACACATTATTCCGTCGTCAGAGACAACAGAAACGTTAATCTCGGTCGCCAATTATCGGTTTTAGGCGGCACTCTTCGTTGTCTTTCGCCCGGCGCGCGGCGCGGCGGCGGGCGTCGCTCGCGCTAAAAACCGCCCAGGGCTCGCTTGCTCGCTCGTTTGCTCGAAAGAATGATTAAACGCGGTTCGATTCATCGATTATCGGCTTTACGCCCCGAAGGGAAATCGCTTCGCCTATAGTATGCCCCTATATACTGTCCCCGATTTATATTTATATCACGGACTTCAACGAGGTGTCCCAAATCCACCGATCTCAATTTCCGATTCCTTGACCAAGTTGAAGTTTTAATGAAGATTCAATGTTGAATATTAAGAGATTGCAGCAATGCGTTCAGAATAGGAATAGCGGAAATCTTTAGTTCGTAAAATTTATCTTGACTTTGCGATATTCTAATTTATATAAAATAAATGTACAAATAATGGGCTTATATTTTATACTCTTCATATGATAGCTCCGAATTTGCTAGGGAATCGTCAAAGTCGTGTTCATGAAATAGTTTCTAAAAGCTCTATGATGTGAAATTGTTATATAGCAGATATAATAACGGCCCTCTGTTTCATATAAATATCTAACTCATTTAACGGTTCGATGTTGCGGTTTGAAACGGACGACTTGCGATTCGTCGAGTACTGTGGCATCAAATTGACGACGGCCGGTGGCTCGTGATTACGGGACAAATCAGTGGATTATCCGGAAGCTCAGTTTCGCGAGTGTACGGGAGCCGGGAATAGGATACCGGGAGTTTCCATTTCGTCCGAGAGAATAACAATTCGAAGCAGGGAGACAGTTCGAGAGTGACGAGTCTCCATCTGTTCCACTAAAGGGAATCGGGTGGGTGGAGGCGGGTCAAGAACGAAATGGAGAAAGAGGTCGAAAAGGACAATGGCGTGTGTGAGCGGGAGAGAAAAATAGCAACATGGCGTGCGGGTAAAAGAGAGAAACGGAGAACGGATGACGGGCGGGTAAAGAAGAATCGCGTGAAAGGGAAGTAACGCGACGGAAACGACAGGGATAAACGAGAAGGACGTAGGAAGGAAAAGAGAGTGAAAGGGGTGTGGGCATTGCGTCCGGGAAAATAAAGGAAAGTAGCACCGGTAATCCAGAGCGCGGCCCGAGTCTTACCGAGGCTTCCACGGATGTTTATTGAGTCGGTACGCGCACGCGCTACATGCAACACTATCATCTCATCTCATCCGGTCTCGTCTCATCGCCCGTGTATTCCCCGTGGTCCTTTCTCGTCTCCCTCTCCCTCTCTCTCTCTCTGTCTCTCTTTCGTTGTCTGCTCATTTGCCCTCTCCTCCTCTCTCGTTCTTGATTTTACTTCTATCACATTTTCCACCTTTT